AGATCCTTAACCCTATACAGATAGTCATGAAAACATATTATTTGAATGTTAATTATTAATATATCTATCAAAATATATGTGAAATTAAAAGCAAATGCATTAGATAATGATATTTTCATACTTATTCAAAATTCATATTAACAAAAATTTGCAGGACTATCTGGAATGTCTTAAGAATTTTTACGGTGATACGAGGAAACATTTTACACTTTTTAGCCCTTTTTGAAAATATACTACATATGTTTAGAAATAATTTTTATTTACATCATTATTTTCAGCTTTCCAATTTTGTGTGAGTGAAATTTTTTAACTCAATTTGAAGTCGCATACTCATTGGGAAATTAGTTTAAAATCAATTGCAAAATTGGTATCAAACAAGAAAATGAATTAATTGTCTATTGAGATCTAGATCTGGGTTATGTGTAAAAATTCAAGTCTCCAGCTCATCGAAAAGTTAGTTGCAAAATTTATACCAAATAGACAGTCAGACGAGAATGCGAGAAAACTTCCCGATAAGTTAGAGACTTTAATATATACAAGCATATCCAAGAAATGGATGGCAATGCAGCATTAACTCACTTTCATGTCTAACTGTTTTGTATAAATTTTGCAATTGGCTGTAGATTAACTTCCCGAAAAGTTCATCATCATCATCATAAGGTCGTCAGTCCTAAGACTGGTTGGACACGTACCTTCACTCTTTCTTAACCTGAGCTAAACTTCGCATTTCCCTAAAACTAGCACAACCTACATCCTTAACTATTTGCGAACAGTAATCTAATCTAGGTCTACCTTTACCCCTCTAACTCCTGTTTCTGCCTCTAATATGTCTCTGACTAGACCTTCATGTCCCGAAAAGCTAGACTTGAATTTTTCAAAAAAGCTCAGAACTGGATGAAAATGTGATATTAACGTGTTTTTTGATTAACTGCCTATTTGATACAAATTTTGCAATTGGTTTTAAACTGACTATCCATTTCTAGGCGATTGATCTATAAAAATTCAAGTCTCTAGCTCATCGGGAATTCAGTTTAAAATCAATTGCAAAATTTGTATGAAACAGATAGTAAAAGAAGAAAGCGATTTAAAAATACATTGCTATTCAGTTCTAGGCGATTGATGTATAAAAATTCAAGTCTCTAGCTCATCGGAAAGTCAGTTTAGAATCAAATGCAAAATTTTTACCAAACAGAGGGTCAGAAAATAAGAAACCATTCTTATTCAATTTTAGGCTATGCATGTATAAAAACTGAAGTCTCTAGCTCATCAAAATCAATCGTAAAATTTGAACCACACAGAGAAACATGCAGACAGATAAATAGACACAAATGCAAGTTAATAAAAACTTGGTTAAAAATAATAACAATTTAAAAACGATCAAAAATGTCAAGGAGTTTATCTATTTTCGTGTGAGATTGTTTTCGAGGACACCCTATATATTTGTAGAACTTCGTGTTTTGTACGTATTAGGTATTTATTACCCTATCGGATACATAACCTTTCGTGAATTAATCATACAATAAAATGGACGGTAAAGGTAGGGGTAGTAATTCTTGAATTATCTATTAGACTTTAATAATTAATTAAAAGCGCAGGTGTACAAATATGTATCTACAAATGCAACTGCTCTTGTTCATTTAATAACTACAACGAGCACTTAATTCTCTAAGAATGTGCCTGCTTCTCGAACAATTAATATGCATTATTCTCGTTACAACCCCTTTATTAGACATATTTAGATTAATTATTCATTTTAAAGTAAACCGTTTTTCTCTTGTCAAATAACAATTAAAAATAGATATGATTTAGAATGCAGTTACTAAATTTTCCCCAACCAATACCAATGAATGAAAGTTATATATGACACGTTTCACCCTACAATTGCTTTAATTTCTTCTATATTTGATTTCGTATTTTTGAATTTTGATTACATTTACTCAATAATAAGTTAGAAATTACCAACATAACCTTAAATTTTGTATTAAGTAAATCATAATTACAACATTCTATCTGTTATTATTTCCATTTTAATAATTATATTGTAAAGTGTTTAACAAATATTTGTTAATAATAACGTATAACTTACATTGCAAGCATTTTGCAGTTTGGTGTTTCAACCTGATTGCGAATATCGCAAAAATTATAAATAACAATGTACGCAAACAGACATACTTAAATATATTAATTATCAAAAATACCAATGTTTTCTGTTACCTGGCAGTTAATATCATATTTAAATAATTACTTCTTCTTCTAAACACTTCACTCTATTTTGCAAACATAACGTTCGACAACTGAAAACCAAGTAGATACCTACTGCTCGAGTCATACAGAAGTACTACTCATGAAAAGTTTTTTAATTTTAAATAACTATTATTGGAGTCAAACAGGAAACTAGCAGGGTACAACTATCGACATTAAATAACAAAAAAATAATAATTTCTTTGTTTTTAACCCATTTGATATATGCAATACAAACTTTCACAACTGTTCTTCATAACCGAAGCGGATGACTATTTCTCCAAAAAATCACTTTATATTTACTGAAGACTTCATTAATGAAACATTTCCATAAGTTTCTAATTTCGATAAGTTCGTTACTTCCATATTGGTTCGCCATAACCGAGTAGGTACGTTATAACGGATGACCATTTTTTTTAACTCCACAAAATCACTTCGTATTTACTGAAGGGTCTTCATCAATGAAACATTTGCATAAGTTTCTAATTTCAATAAGTTCGTTACAGCCGAAGATAAGATCGCACTTTCGCACTTGTTCGTCATAACCGAGTACGTTATAACGGACGACTGTATTTTTTTAAACTCTAGAAAATTACTTTATATTTACTGAAGACTTCATCAATGAAACATTTGCATAAGTTTCTAATTTCGATAAGTTCGTTACTTCCATATTGATTCGTCATAACCGAGTACGCTATAACGGATAACTATATTTTTTTTAAATTCCAGAAAATCACTTTATATTTACTAAAAAGTCTTCATCAATGAAACATCTGTGTAAGTTTCTAATTTCAATAAGTTCGTTACAGTCGAAGATAATATCGCATTTTCGCACCTGTTCGTCATAACCGAGTACGTTATAACGGATGACTATAGATATTATTTTGAACTCTAGAAAATCACCTTATATTTACTGAAAAGTCTTCATCAATGAAATATCTGTATAAGTTTCTAAGTTCGATAAGTTCGTTACAGCTGAAGATAATGTGATACTTCTACACTGGTTCGCCATAACCGAGTACGTTATAACGAATGACTATATTTTTTTGAACCCCAGAAAATAACTTCATATTTACTGAAATCTTCATTAATGAAACATTTGCATAAGTTTCTGATTCCGATAAGTTCGTTACTTCCATATTGGTTCGTCATAACCGAGTACGCTATAACGGATGACTATATTTTTTTTGAACTCCAGAAAATCACATTATATTTACTGAAAAGTCTTCATCAATGAAACATCTGCATAAGATTCTAAGTTTGATAAGTTCGTTACAGCTGAAAATAATGTGACACTTCTACACTTGTTCGTCATAACCGAGTACGTTATAACGAATGACTATATTTTTTTGAACCCCAGAANGATGTAAATTAAGCGTAATATCCAGTAAGTAGGGACTTTGTATGAAAATGAAATAGAGATATATTTAATTCAGCCTTTGCAATAAAGTCCAATTATTTATTTTTTAATTATCGTTATATAATGGCTCAGTCTTTTATATTTTCATTTATCCAGTCTAAGTACTCTGTTACCCTCGTGTAGACTCCAGGGTACCCGGGTTCCCCACATTTATTACCAAATGAAACTACCCCCACTTGTATCCAACGCGCATTCCGCTGTAACATCAAAGGACCCCCTGAATCCCCCTGAAATAAAACCAAATGTTTCGTATAACTGCAATTTAAATTTCAACGCGCCCGAAAAAGTAAATCTACCTCAAATGCTTTCTGGGATTATATAAAGATTTATTTTTCTCATTTGAGGTACAGAGCCTTTTAGAAAGGAAGAAAACAAAATTTACTTACTTGACATGCATCGGTGCCCCCTCGAGAGTACCCTGCGCATATAAAATTAGATGTAATTGGCTGGAAATATGCCTGGTCGCAATCTTCATTTCTCCAAATTGGAAGAATTGCTTGTCTTTGAACAGTACTCTCCTTACCACCTGTAAAAGCGAATAATAACTTGCCAATTATACGCAGATGTACAGGGTGGACTCAGGTAAAGACGGTTGGAAATGAGGAGGTACAAGAAAGAGGATGAGGGCATGGAATAACCAATAAGAAATAGATAAGATAGATTAGTAAGACACCTTCTCAGAAATGAAAAGCTAGTTAAAGACATATTAGAAGTAAATCTAGATTAGATTACTGTGCACAAATAGTTAAGGATGTATACTTCGTTTAGTTTCTGTAGCGATGTGACCTTCACTTTGACCGGCGTAAAGTAGAAAAGAACAGCACTAGGCCAGAAAAGAAAGAAGACAACTCTCGGTCAAACTCTTAACCGGTAAGGAGCGTATAATTCGTACAGTACTGCACGGAAAAATTGACCATTTTATCCACTACAATAGCATTGCTCAAATGTGCTGTTATTAGTACCATTTACTAGTGAAAATGTCAACGAGATGATTATTTATATTTGAAGACATATTAAAGGCTTTAACGCTTGTTTTCGACTCGCTCTACTATTCATGACTGAACAAAACTTTTGGCAGGTACTGTATGAAAAGGAATGTTTAATGAACAAGAGTCGAGAGTATAATGAGCTTTTTCTCCCTACCTACGATTTTGCCAGCGCGCATCCAAGACAATGGAAAGGGCACATCGCTAGAGAAAGTAAATGAAGTATAGGATTGACTCAGGATATAAAGAATGAGAAGTGAGTGTCTAATTAGTCTTTAGACTGATAACCCTATGATGATAATCATTCAAGGGTAATATGGTAATATCATTAATTAACTGTGTCTTGTTTTATTGAGCATACCATAATAGGTAGTTCCCCATCCTACGACGGTGGTTCTTTGTCCAGCGAACGATTCTTTTCGTAATTGGGGTGGTGGTAAACACAATGGTATAACGTATCGCGACCTTCTGGCCTGTCTATCCAATACGAATATGGCTATGTCATTGTAGAAACCGATTCTACTGAACTGGGGATGCGTTTTTACTTCTTTTACTTTGAAAGTTACAGGTGCTGACGGCTCATCAGTTCTTTTCAAATCAATATCTCCCAACCTTATCGTAAATTGTCGAGCTGGAAAACTATATAGATTTGTTTGAAAATATTTTTTGAGAAATCGTACGTCTCGTTTTATCCCAGACAAGAATTATAACGTCTAACATGATAAAGAGGGTGTTATTGACAGCGATGTTCAGGTTTCTGCATTTGCACCCTGTCAATTTGTTTCTGAACGACGTTTCGTCCTCGTTCAGATAACAGCTCTTCTGTCTCAGGCTCTCAGATCATCCATCTACTTCGGAAGAGCCTTAAAGACATCCAGTTTATAATTCGAGAACGAAACGCCGGTAACAGGCAATTTGACGCGGTGCAAACCCAAAATTATCACTCACGGTCTTTGCTGAGAGTCTCTGGTACAATGGGCTGCCGAAAGCACATGTTTCGCAGTTATTAGAGAGCCACCGCACCAAAATTCCGTTCTTTTATTACCATGAAGAAATATCGCCGCCATCCACGGCCATCTTCCAGGAAGCGCTTCTTCACCACCAACTACTCTAAACTTCGCCGATTGTGACTGACCACAATCTAAAATAATGCTACTGTTTACTGCAATCTTCATTATAATTCCAGTAAGATTGAGAACGTAGGTATTTTTGTTATCCAAATGTGTCTGGCGTAAATTGAATTTGATCGATAATAGGAACGCACTCGGGGCGAATTAGTTTGATTTTCAAAGTTTGTATTTGACTAACCGTAAGTAAATTTCACCCGATTTACATTGGAACGTTGTTTATTAGTGGTTTGTTTGTTACATCAAATATTCAGTAGAATGGAGCAATAAAGTGACCACAAAGTTAATAGCTCGATACTGAAATTTCAATCGTCCGCAGCGGTTAATATTGCACTTATCTGTACGCCATACTAAACGTATAATTACGATATTATCATCGATTACCAAATGGTTTTTAACACGTACAGAGTATCAATTAATTCAAAACGAATACACAGGGTGATCACTGTCCAAATTAAAATCATATTAGGTTCCATCCACTCAAAATAAAACTATTAACTCAGTTTGTTGAATCGTTTGAAAATGGTACTTGTGGTACCGAAAATATAATGACTCGTTCTTGATTACAAATAAAGTAATATCTTGGCAAATATTAGTTTCATTTTTATCAGTATACTGACCTTTTGGATCTATAACGTTTCCATTCAAAGAAAGAAGAGGTTTTGTGCTGTTTCCTATTAGAACTGAAGAAGGTTTTAAAACAGTAGAAGATGAGATTAAAGTTGAGGCAGTAGTTTGTGCGACGTTTTCGGAATTTACGATTGTAGAATTTTGCGATATAATTGGATTGTTTGTTGTGGTACTTGTGGTAGTGGTAGTTGTAGTTTGAATAATAGATTCGATTTTGTCGATTGAACGGGGACAACAAACACCGGGAACAAAAAGACTTTTAAAGCAGATAGATTCCCGTAAAATTCGTAAGTTCAGAAGCAATTGCGGGCACACGCTCAGGTCATCGCAGTACCTGAAAGCGAACAAACAATAACTTGCACCAGAACAAAGCAAATAATGCAGCAAAGGAAAGCTTTTCCTAATTAATACACTCTTCAGATTTTCGGAGTGGTAAAAACAACAACGAATCAAAATTTGGATAACGTTGTTAAAAATCATTCAATATGTAATTGTACCTGATATAATTTAATAATGACTTATTGAGTAAAGCGCACGGAACAAAATACAGTTAGCTAACATTACGTACCTACGACAGGTGATTATTAAAAAAGAAATAAATTAGTTATTAAATTAACTGTACATCTACTACACAATAAACATTCGCCAACTGCGACATTTCTTTGGTTATTAGGGCGTAGAACAAAGTAAAAAAGCATCTCTAGGTCAATGGCATTGACCTTATCTTTAGTGTAATAAAGTTACAGTGACTTAACACTGGCTATTCAATTCTTTAGGACCGGACTACCGAATAATTTACTAGCTGTAAATTCACTGGCGGTTAATTGGAAATATTCTCTACTAAATTTCATACCCAGGAAGATTTTCGGGAGTTGTACATATCCTGAGATCCTTTTCTGGTGGTGGAGTACTAGGTGCATTATTAGTAATTTTAAGTCCGCCTACATTTGGAAGTACAAAGGGTGCAATGGTATCGGTAACATTGGGCCCAAGAACATTTTTGCTTATCGTGTATATAGCAGTTGGGACTTCGTCACTTGGTGTTTCAATTCCGGAAGTCATATTAACCAAAAACCTTCCGACTGTGTTTAAAGCTCCCAAAGTTTCAGAAATTCGAAGCAGGGTCTGTGGTTTAAAATGACGTCCGCTCCCTGCATTATTTGGATTTTTATTTACTGTAGTATCCGTTCCAATCGATGGTGTATCGTCCTCTTTTCTGTTCGAAGCAACGAAAGTAACAGGACTTTCTCCAGTTAAAAGGGTATTGTGATTTTTATCTGGAGGATAAATTACCCTTACAAAATTATTTGGTCTATGAGCAAAATTCAAAGTGTTTCCTGGACTTTCTTTTGGAAACGGATAACTTATTAGATGTTGGGGTCTGGGAAGTCGTTGGGGATTAAAATTAAGCACTTTTTCCTCTCTGTTAACGCTTGTGCTTGTGGTAGATTCTATTTCATCTGGTATGATTTCTCCAGTGAGTTGACCTCCTTGATCATCATCAGGTCTTTGGATTGATTCAAACTCATTCAATTTGGAAGTTTCAAAAGGTGTTTCCGAAATTCTGGGAAATCTTTGGGGCGTATCCAAGAAATTAATGGGCTTAAAACTACTAAGATTTTCTTTATCATCGGTTGGCTTATCTTGACTATCGTCAGGAAAAATCGACCGATGTTCTGGACTAAATGGAGCTTGAAGGGAATCTTTTTCCCTCCTTATCCATTTCGGTTCATCGTCTTGATCTGTTCTCCGGTTATACGAGTTCTCAAATCCATTTGAGTTGGGCAACAGAAAGAAAATACTAGTCCATCCCCCTATACAACAATAAAGCAATCCTACTACATAATATTTTAAAATAATCCCTATATAAACACAAACATAAACATGTTTCATAAATGATTCTAAATGTTGCGTAAAAGTTCAAGGTATGATTAAAGAAAGAAACGTTTGTTGAATGTCAAATTTACTATAGGTTCGGTCAGTATACCTACTTTCACTTGCTTTCGATGGACAATCCGCGTTTATGTAATGGGGTTTCCCCTGATTCAACACTCGACCGAGATGATTTTAGAAATTAGTAGACATTCGACAAAGACCGGCCAACCATTTTATCTTTCTATGTACAATATTGTTACTCAATTAATATGCGTAATGTTGTATCCGGAAATTCCAAACGAAATTTAAAAAAAGAACTTCTAAAGGATTTCTAGATGTAATTGCTTAAACTCGTTGAGATTAATGTAATGGAGCAGATAAGACAAACTAACTAAATATTCCTTTTAATGTCAATATTTGCCGTACACGAAATCCATTTCATTTTTAATTAGGCGCTCGAAAATACTCTAAAAAGTTCCGCTGTTGCATTTAAATTTTTAGTAGTAAGTAAAAGCAAACAAAATACTTATAAATAATGCATATTTCGTACTTGTTATTAGTTATTCGTACACGTGTTAAGTAATTATAGAAAAAAACTTAATGAAAGCTGGATTTATAAAAGTGATAAGAATAGTTAAAATTAAATGCATAAGTACCTACCTATTAATAATGATTTAGTATAATATAAAAAAGAAAAAAATGTAAAATCAAATATTTATAAATTGATACTGAAAAATATATACTTAGTGGCAATTTAAACTATTTCTTGAAAGAACGCTGACATTTTTTGGAAAAGTACATAGATAAAAAACAAGCACAATATTATAGATGTGAATATTTACCTAAAAAGTTTATCCAAAAGTGCATTGTGCAGCTAGAAGTTTTAACACCGCACTAAACACTTACTAAAGGACTTGTAGAAGTAAAGTTGACCTGAATTTTCTCGTAACGTCTCCAAAGAAAGTGACTGTTATTCCTCTGCCCCTTCTTAAAATTTCTCCCACGTGCACAACATAACTTTTTACTTTCATTATGATAAAATTTCACTTATACTTATAGGTATCCGGCTGAGATAGAAACAATAAAACATTGCCGAAAATATGCACTTACTTATAGATACAAACTCTGATATAAACAGCTTTTAACACTCGCATATAATCGTCAAGAAAATAATTAAGAGCAATACTGAAGGAGTAAATTGTTAAGGAAATCGACCTGCTAACCGTAATTTAAAATTTGTAATTACCGCTTTCATCTAACTACGTGATTTTATTAAATTAAATCGGTTATTAAGTACCCATGTACATTTACTAGAGTGTAGCCGCTCAGAGATATGTACCAATAATTGAAATAAATAATTTATTGTAAGCTAGATACATACAAATAGTTGGTTGCTTTTATCATTTGTAGGATAATTAAATTAATTTACCGTATTTGATTATAATTATCTTTAAATATGATACGTACAATAACTTTTTGTACGACATTTAACTAAAAGATTCAGAATTCTAAATTTCACTGCAAGTTGTGTCGGTTTCTTTCTAGAAATATGTTCCGTATATTCAAAAATTGCGCGGTTTTTGGAAATCGGTACTCTTCGTTTCCTCCTTTCTTGATAGGGGACGCTCTTAGCCGACAGCTTTTCGTGAAAGCTTTGTATTATTTTAAAACAAATGAGGTTTCTTAGGCAACCAACATTGCATATTTTGCGATTTAAGGCTAATATGGGTAAAATAATTCTCACTTAAATATTTACGATTTTTTAATAGATTTACTTTAATAATCATACTAATTAATGCGTCGTATATGTGAAAATAACTTTTTAATATAATTAGTATCACAAATATTCATTTAAGTCTTATTACTGAATAATATATCTCCACTCTTTACCTGATGTATGAAATTAAACAGCAATATTTGAATTGTGAAAAAAAAAATACGTATTTATGATTTAGTGCAAACGTAAAAAGAAGCTAATTATTATTTAGAATATTTATAAGTAGTAAATATTTAATGAAAACTAATAACGAGCAAATAAGATCACTAATAATGAGTTAACACTTCTTTTTGTCATTTTTGCGTTTAATAAAATGTTGTAAGGTACGCTGCATTTTTTTCTCATAACAATTTTGTGTTATTAAAATGTTTAATACGATGAAACAAAGAAACGATAGTTCAGTAAAACACATTTTATTTGCGACTTAATCAAATGTTATAAATATTTAAAAAATTAGTATTAGAGCCATTAAATGTTGATGTAAAAAAGGAACGTGGTATTCAAAATTTTGACTATTTCGACTGATAATACAAATGGAAACTAAAAACAATAATTAAAATAGAATTTGCTATGTGGTCTCTCCTTCTGGATTTCTATTTTCTTCAGTAACACTATCTATAATTGACAACGCTGCAGAAGTAGAGTCACAAGTGCCATTTTCTGTTGTGGAAGGATCATTACTGTCTACTGTCATGCTGGATTGACTTTCATCAATGGAAGGACTTACAGTATCCTCTTTTGTTATAACAGTTGATTCTTTAGATGCAGAGGATTCTGCAGAATGATCAGTATTACTTTCAGATACTAAACATCCATTTGAAATAACTTCTTCATCATCAGTCTTAACATTAGACTCACTTTCTATAACATTCTGAATGCTGTTATCTTTATTATCTTCTATATTTTCTTTCTTATTCTCGTTAATAGTCAAATCGTTGAGGCTATTTTCTATTGAGGTTGTACTTTCTTCTGTTAATTTTGCTTCTGTAACATCAACAGAACTTTCTGTAGCCGGTAATGAATTATTTTCTTTTATTTCCTCGTCATTTCCTGAACTACTAACTACTGATTTTGCTTGTATTGAATAAAAATGCTCTTGAAGAACTTTAAGATTATTTTTGAGATGCTCAAGTTCAATTTCCTTTTTAGTCTTTCTTGGAGAGCTAGCTGGCTCTTCAACACATTTTTGGGAAACTGGCTCTATTCCATTTAATTTAAGGAGTTTAATGTAGGAAGAACGGTCTGTTTGTAGTTGTCTACACAATTTTTGTAATTGTTCTAATTTTCTTTCTAAATTGTCAATTTTGGTGTCTTGGGACTGTTTTGTTGCTGTAAGTTCTATAACGCATTGTGCATTCTTTTGCCAGCGTTGTTTGAACATTTTACATTCTTTCTCTAAAGTTGCAATTTGTTTAGTCATCTTAAACATTTCAGATTTACAATTGTCAAATACTTCGTTACTTCTAGATATTGTTGATTCAAATTCTTTATAATTTCCTGAGTAAACCTGAAGATTTTCCTCGAGACTTTTTATGTTTTCTTGCAACTTTACACAATTTTCTTCACTTTTCTTCAGATTACTTTGGAGTATTTCTCTTTCCTTACTCCACATTTCTCGTTCAGCCTTTAACTCCAATTCAGCTTTTGCTACTGTTGCTTCTGATAATTGTCTCTCTAATTCAAGTTGTTTTTCTACCCGAGCAAGTTGTTCTTTGCGTTTATTAAACTGCTCACAAAGAGCCTGTATTTTGTTTGCCATGTCTTTGTTATCATCACGAAGCTTTATATTTTTCTCACTGTTTTCCTGTACCATATTTGAAACTTCTGAGAGCGTATTTTGGAATTTAAGTGCCACTTCTTTGCGTCTTTCTTCTTCCTCACGAATTTTAGCCAAATTTTCTTCCTATAAAGATAAAAACAATGTCAACTGTCCATCTTACGTAGTATCAATCAAACTACCAATTATATACAAAAATAACATATCTTAATATTTAGAAGGAATGTTTTACACACCTTTATTAATTTATTTTGTTTCTGAAGCTCTCTACATAAACTTTCCATGCGTGCTTTAGCCAAAACAAGTTTGCCCTGCTCTGACTGAAGTTGATCTCGTTCTCTTTGTAGGACAGTCATTCTTTTGTCACTTAATGCTGTATTGTTTTGAAGAGCTCTGAATTCATCATACAAATCGCTATATTTCTTTATCAAAACACGAACTTTCTCACCATCTTCTAAATTACCAATTTCTTTCATGATATTTTCAATAGCCCTGTGGTCTCTTCTTCTCTGCTTATCTTCCCTTTTTTTCTTAATATTAGCTGTGTTATTTGGGGGTGTAATGTCTTTTTTTACTTCTTCCATGATGCTGATTTAATCTAAAGAAGAGAAAGGAAACACATTTTTTAACATTTAATATCAATTTCATGAAAAACAAAATATAACCCCGTTTACATTAAAAATTCTTGTCTATCTAATAATATATTCTCATATAGAATTCATAAGTTTTTGAAAAATTAAGGAGTTGTTAATTCAAAATAAATATTCGTGAATAATTATTAGATAAAAATAGTTAATATTATATAAGGTTAAAGTTTGGAAAACATTGAACAAATACGAGAGTAATAAAAAATAGTCCTTTACATTCTTAAAAAATGATTAACATAATAAAATCAATAAATACTTACATGAATTTAATGCAAATTACAATTAAAGTATGAAATTTTCCAGAAATAAACAACACTTGACATTATACTTTAATTACAGTATTGTAGTGCCATCTATGATACTATTCAGGTATAAACCGATCTTTTTGATAATCATCGAAACCCATTTAAGGCAACTTTTTTTTTAATTTGCGACATTATTTAATTTATGATTTAATTCTATTTCTGTTATAACTAAAAAGTACGTTACCTTTATATGTTCTTGGTTTTTATGAGTTATACATAAATCTTCAATATTACGTTGGAATTTCAACGTGTCTGGGTCAGATAAAAATAGTTAATTAAAATTGTAAGTCGCAGTATTGTAATCAGATTACTCAATTTTTAAACTATAAAAACTATTACACTTATAAAAACAATAATTGTAATAACTGATACTGGAAGAGAAGCACACTATTTGTAAAAGCCTAGTTAATAGGGTGAAGTAGAAAAATGTTAAGGTCCTTATTCACATTAGCTTCGCTGCAAATCTGGATCGGTACTAGATATAAATAGAAATATTTTGGAAGCCAAGTGGTTCTGTCTGTATCTATCTTTAGAGCAGAAAAGGATATGAAATTATTTCACTCCAATAACCACGATATGCAATTTTTGTTTATTAACTTATTGTTATTGCAAAAATCTTTTTAATATGCTAACAGTAGGTTTCTATTTCTTTATAAGATTCCATAGGTAAAACAATAGGTATAAGTGTATAAGCGAATTACGCATGTTTGGTAACTTAAAAAAGGAGAGGTATAGATATACAGTTACCAAAATGTTGTACAATTTTTTACTTGCTAAAGTGCTAAAGTTAGTTACCTATTTTGGAATACATAAATGCGTAGAACAGTAAATTTAAAGTGCTTGGATTGACTGAAATTGAGTAAAATACCTGAAATAAATGCGTTCCTATCGTTTTCAACGAATTACTAAAAAATATTATATAAGCATTACGAAACTTGGATATAAACAGGTTGATAAAAATCATAAGCCGGAAGATTTTTAAAATATTAGACGCATCGGTCTGGCATGCGTCCAGGCTTGTTAAAAACTCGCCACGGAAATGCCGAAGCACCTGATTGACAAAAAACAAAAATTTGTCTTCTGTTTGGCGAACATAAAATAAAAATATTTTCAAATTGAACTATAAAAAGTTTAGCAAGGGTTCAAATTAATTGCAAATAAATTATTCAATCAGTCTATTTGTAAATGCGCAGTGCATAATTTGTTTTGTGTAATTCAATAGGAGTACATTGTACAGAGGTATGCGCAAAAATAATAATAATCTGCGGTAAATAATGATTAATTATTTTAAACGTGGTTGTGTCTGATTAACATTGTAATCACAAAATAGCTCGCAAATAGGCGTTACTTCGGTCTTACCTATACGATTCGTTTAGCAAAGGCAATCTTTTGTTACTTCAAGTTGTATAACGTGACTAAACTAGATTTATTCGTGGCATAGTTATTAGGCATCGAATGCATTTATCACAAAATAATTTCACTGCAGTGGCTACTTAGGAAACAAGAAATAAAACAAAGTAAAAAAAAAAAGCTTTGTCGCTACACATTAGTAGCCGTTTTGCGTGAGTTTGATTACAAAGAGAGATATGTGTACAATTCCATAAATACACATTAAATATTTAATTATGAAACAATTTAAGATAAAAGAGATTATTAAATAGGCTGTCGATGAGTGTGAAGCAGTCTATGAGCTTTTGGCTTTTTGGGGACCCAGATAATCTTTAAAAAAAAAGGAATTAAAAATTCTACCAAAAAGTAAAGTAATCATGAATCTGTTATGAAAAGAACCTTATTATATGCATAAACTTAAGCATACAATAAATAATTATAAAAAATAATAAGCAGAATTTATTCAAAAATAGTACGAAGGCAGATCTATTAGAAATGGGGTATCAAAATGAAAATGGGCATATGAATCTTTCCATTTCTGCTGGTGAAATGCATTAAAACGTTTATGGTGTTATCAATTTTTATCATTTTCATCAAGGGACATGAGGGGTTGATTTGCTCCTGCAACGGGGTCATTATTTATGTAACTATTTTTGTTACTCTTCCCCGTTAACTAATATTTTTCGGAATAATTACTTATCAACAGATGATAGGGTTATTAAATTTGTTGAATCGTACGTTTATTAGAAGATTATCCGGTAAGAGGGGTGTATATTCAATATCGACTACCTACACGTTATCAGAAAGCCAGTAGTTTTTTATGAACTTGAACATATTGCATTTTTATTTCCATGTAATCGGAAGATACATAATGTAAACCGCTATCGTTCAATTTTATTGTTAAAAACAAGTGTTATCGAAATTTGTTGATGATGTCCAACGAAAATCTGTTATAATCTTTGTATAAAATGTTTATTATGTTTATATATTACGTAGATAAAAGTAGAACGAGGAAGATAACATTCGATTATTATTACCGTTTTAAGGAGATTGTTGACAACATCCATTTACATTTTTAAATGAGTATGTATGAGGATTCATAGAAACGATTATGAAGTCCTTTTAGTCAGTGCTGGACTTACGCGTAGGCCCAGGTTTAGGACGGAAAAATTTTAGGGATGCGAAATATTTGACCTGGCTTTAATCAACAATCTACTATCATCCCTTGGATGTTGAAATTAGAAAACTTTCTCGTTATTCTCTTTTGTATTTTGTGTGTAGCCTTGTTTTATCGTACGTAAGGTGATTTATGGCTATTTTGAAATAATTATTAATGAATGCTTGTATCGTAATCAGTAGTTTTACTATAATTACTACTAGAAGACAGTCGAACCTAAATCCGACCTTGCTTCCAGTTTTGAAACAAGGAAGTCAGTATCATTTTTTTTTTGAACTGACTCAAAATACGCTGATAAACCGATAAAGTTAATGGATTCTAATGAAGGACACCCTGTATATGAATGCATTAAATTCGTAGCGGCCATTGAAAGAAAAATTAGAAGTTATTTATGGCGGTTTTAAATGTTATTTTTATCAAGATATGATTTTGAGATCTAAAAATAGTTAAGGACAAATCGTAATAGGGTCACATTTAAAAATAAATAATTAAATTATAACATTATAGTGTAATACTGAAAAAAGTTTGTTTTCTGGACAAGAAGTTCTTTTGTTGTTATAAAAAAAAAAACACATTAAATGCAATGTTTACCATGATGGTTTAAAAATGCATACTTGGAAAATCGGTAAACAAAAATTAAAAACATTTCCTGGTAGCTTTCGCCTGGTAGGAGTTTAGAATAACGAACTTTTAACAGAATAACTCTAATCATATTACTTATTACAAGTTTTGCTAGTCAAGTAATTAGATTGAATAGTTCATAATGAAGTTCTATGTCCTAATGTGCGTGGCCAGAAATAATTATGGAATTCATAACACCTAATTAAAATTAGTAGCACGTGGACTTCAGTACGTTCTATTAAATGTGAAGAATAATATAAAGAGACAATAGCAAGTCTAAAAGCGATTCCCTATAGCCCGTTAATAGAATATCAATGGCTACTTGATCGAAATGATTTTCTTCTGTTGAATGAGATAATTGAGTAGGTATACTAATACTAAACTAAAAAAATACTTGCGCATATCGAAGTCGTTTGGAACGACATGGGTAACAGAATCATCAGACCCAAATGAAGTGTCCAACTTGTCGGCCGATGGACACACGGGGAAAAGTTCTGGCGTAAACAACGACAAAATGTGTGATAACAGTGTGTACACAAGAATAATAAATAATTAACAGTTAATGATAATGTCGAAGAACAATAAGAAACTCTCAATAAGTGGAGAGAGAGATCAGTGAAGTGATTCGTAATGGACCAGAGTGACGAGTTCGAGACCGACCCTTTCCATCCGTCTGCTAATATGACATCGTTAAGGCAATTGGTCATTTTTTTTTCGTTCGTAATAGGAGCTGCCGGAAATATTGCGGCCCTTTGGATACTTCACAAATCGGCAAAAACAAGAAACAGCAAACATGTTCTCATGTTGCGATGTTTGGCTACGAACGATTTAGTTGCACAAATTGGAATGTTAACGCTTATCCATTTGGATAAATATCGTGTATTACCGCTATATTGGGCTTGCGTGCTTTACGTATGTTTGCGAGCTTTTGGATTAAGTTCTGGATGTGTTGCATTCGTAATGGCCATTGAGCGGTGGTTAGCCCTTACAAGACCCTTTCTATATCAAAAGGTGAGAACATTCATAAAAAAAAAAAACAAAAATCGTTTATTTAAATATCATATCTCGCCTTCTTATTGGATTTTAAAAACTTTCAAAAAACTATTTATGGTTTATATACATAATTATTAAAACTACATGGTTACAATAGCATCATTTGTTCATTCTATTTTTTTAGTGATTACCTTTTTTTTGTGATATTCATTACCCACTGGAATTAAATTTAAACTAAATGAATATTTTCCCAAATTCTTCACTTTTATTTCTTGTTGTTTAAATCTTTTTAACGTTTAATNATGAATTGTGCACTTTTTGTTTACTATAACATATAATAATATAAACTATTTTCTAGACTTTACTAGTAAAACTTTTTTGAAACATGATAAAGCATTTTTTCTTTATTTACGCTTAAATTAAATAGACCTTTTTGTGTATTAATTAGTCGGCATTACACGTTAATTAATATTCACCTGTCGGCACTGATGAAGTGCAACAATAAAATCGTTAGAAAACTGGAGAAGTAAATAAACAAACAAAGCAATAAAGTTTCAACTAAGGAGCCAAGAATATAAGTGCCGTATCAGTTAAAAGATGTAATCGCTAAACAATTTAAATGATTTTATTAACTTTAAGTGCATGCAAAAGTTTACTGAACTAATGTCTGACTCAATTCAATTAAATTATGGCCTCAGTTATTATTAAATTAAAATTGAAACAATAGGTTTACCGTTCCTTCTTTGATGTAGGTAATAAAACATTAACAGCAATTGTATATCCACTTGCAGGTACCTATTTTTATTCGTTTAGCAGAAAATTGAGACTCTTTTCGACTTGTTTATTTAATCTATAATTAGTACATAAATTTTTTAAAGCGTAAGTCCTGTATGAACGTAATACATTTATTGCGTTTAATATTACTGCCACCCTGTATATTTACGTAACATTTTTATGATCTACTTATTCCCAAATAGGTTTAATAATAAGCGTATATAAGGACTGACTAAACAAATTTAGGTAATTTACCTTAAAATGGATTTATTTATGTCACGTGAAGCTAATAACATTATCTACTGGCAACATTAACTTTAACATTATTTTTTCATGCTAACAAAGTGTGTCTTTACCAACAGAACTGTGGCCATTTAAATTCGAAAAGACAAATATAAAATATAATGTATACTCTTAATGAAAGCTTTATTTTCACCAAATGTTATTTTCATCTTTGATGGCTTAATTATTAAATCAAAAAAGTATTAGAAGGAGTATCTTAATAATAAAAAGAAATACAAAACAATGATGCACTCTTGAAAATGCCAGACTAGCCGGAAACAATTGTCAAGTGGTTAAATATATTAGCAGTTTTCATGAAAAATGAAATTTATACACACGTAAATAGATCTATGTATATTAGTAAACATGCATCGAAAATACAAAGAGGTGATAGATTTACTTCATTTTAGTTGTCATAAATAAAAAATTGCATAGTTTGCCAAACCCCTGTAAAAAACATAGGTATCTAATACCTGAAGGTGTGATTCATATTTTTTAATACCGTTTACAAATGAAAAGTTAATTTTAGTTTAAACGTTGTATTTTTTTATAGTCCTTTATTTGTTTTTCTTTTATGTTACCATGTTGTAGTGATTTGAATTTTTATAGGTATGAAACTAAATAAATGTCCAAGTTTCATTAAAGTCATCACCATATTATTTTTAATTTATTTGAATTGCAAACGCGTATATCTAAAACTAAGGTGTCTACAATTTATCAAAGAAAATAATACATACCTTAATATTATGTACTGTACTTCGTAAACAAATTTCGTTATATAGTTACTACTGTTTATTCTTATTGTTAGTTGGGCGAAGACTTTTATTGTTTACTGACAAGGTTAACGGCTGTAATAAAGCCGGAAAGTATTGTCTATTTCGCTCAGTTCTTACAGTCTAACTAAAAAAACAAGTTTCATTTACATATATGTGACTGCTATAAATATGGATAATCTTTTTATTTATTTAAACATTTCGATTTTGGATAATGATTCTATATCTAATTAAGATAATACAGGTATTAATAATAATGATCTTAATACGAGTTTCAAATTATAGGACATTATCTAATACTCCTACTAGGTAATTAATAATAAGTTTCACTGTATCGCCGGTAAACTTCTTGTGGAATATTTTTTAAATAAGTGTAAATAAAAAAAATCTTTCTAATGCCTTAAAAAAAATTTGAAGCTCTACAATATCGTTTCGATTGATTTTCAAAGTATATACATACATACAAATAATATAATCATCATCACCGCAATTAGAAATTCGAAAAAGATTGTTAAAGGTGTATGCTTAGAGCGCGGCGTTGTACGGGTGCGAAACATGGACAGTGGGCGCGGCGGAAAAGGTTAAAAGCCTTCGAAATGTGGTGTTACAGGCGAATGATGAGGATACCATGGACAGAGAAGCTTAGAAATGAAGAGATATTAGAAAGAATAGGAGAACAGAGGAAGTCAATAAGAAATAGGCGAGATAGGTTTTGGTAGGATACCTTCTCAGGCATGAAGGTCTAGTCAGAGATATATTAGAGGCAGAAATGGGATTTAGGAGGGGTAGAAGTAGACCTATGTTAGAATTGTTCGCAAATAGTTAAGGATGCGGGTTGTTCTAGTTTTAGGGAAATGCGAAGATTAGCTCAGTATAGGAAAGAGTGGAGGTACGTGTCCAACCAGTCTTAGGACTGACGACCTTATGATGACATCACAACAAGGTCTTCAGCGCGAAGACTTCACATTAGTCGCAAACAATTTATATCTCTAATTATTTGTGAACACTCATCTAATCTAGGTCTACATCTCTTAATTGCTGCTTCTGCTTCTATAATATGTTTCTAACACGTCCTACTTCTTATTGACTCCCACTGTTTTCAATACCTTCTTATTTTCTTGCATACCAGTATTTTTGCTTTATTTTTATTAATTTATTTTATTTAAGCTATTTTCAAGTCCTTCTTGCTAACTTTTTACCCCTGTGTGCCTATTCCTAAAGCTGCCCTGTCTTTTCTACAATGTGCTTCAATTTCTATAACCTGTTTGTTGCTCTTTATTACAAACTGTACGCCATTTGTCTACCCCTATATCTCATCTCTTCATCTTTTAGCATTTTTAACATCTTTTCCTATTTACGAATGTAAGAGTGGCCAGAATCTAGATTTATGAATTGTGCACTTTTTGTTTACTATAACATATAATAATATAAACTATTTTCTAGACTTTACTAGTAAAACTTTTTTGAAACATGATAAAGCATTTTTTCTTTATTTACGCTTAAATTAAATAGACCTTTTTGTGTATTAATTAGTCGGCATTACACGTTAATTAATATTCACCTGTCGGCACTGATGAAGTGCAACAATAAAATCGTTAGAAAACTGGAGAAGTAAATAAACAAACAAAGCAATAAAGTTTCAACTAAGGAGCCAAGAATATAAGTGCCGTATCAGTTAAAAGATGTAATCGCTAAACAATTTAAATGATTTTATTAACTTTAAGTGCATGCAAAAGTTTACTGAACTAATGTCTGACTCAATTCAATTAAATTATGGCCTCAGTTATTATTAAATTAAAATTGAAACAATAGGTTTACCGTTCCTTCTTTGATGTAGGTAATAAAACATTAACAGCAATTGTATATCCACTTGCAGGTACCTATTTTTATTCGTTTAGCAGAAAATTGAGACTCTTTTCGACTTGTTTATTTAATCTATAATTAGTACATAAATTTTTTAAAGCGTAAGTGCTGTATGAACGTAATACATTTATTGCGTTTAATATTACTGCCACCCTGTATATTTACGTAACATTTTTATGATCTACTTATTCCCAAATAGGTTTAATAATAAGCGTATATAAGGACTGACTAAACAAATTTAGGTAATTTACCTTAAAATGGATTTATTTATGTCACGTGAAGCTAATAACATTATCTACTGGCAACATTAACTTTAACATTATTTTTTCATGCTAACAAAGTGTGTCTTTACCAACAGAACTGTGGCCATTTAAATTCGAAAAGACAAATATAAAATATAATGTATACTCTTAATGAAAGCTTTATTTTCACCAAATATTATTTTCATCTTTGATGGCTTAATTATTAAATCAAAAAAGTATGCATCACCTGCTTATAAATTAGTATTAACGAATGAAATATTTTTTTACTTATATACAAAACATTGCCTACCTTAGACCTGGGCCCTTTTTTAGATTGTTAGATCACATCTGTGAAAAATAAATTCTAGTGATTTACACTTATATTGAAAGAAGTGCATCACAATTTTAGATATAGAACGCTCAGTTCTGTTAATAAAAAAGTTTCAAAAATGAAGTGCATACTTTATTTANGTTCAAAAATATATATGTCATATATATATAGACATAATAGCACTTTAAAATTCCTTTACTGTCAATCCTAAGACTTATATACATTTATAAATAAAAGCTGTGTAAAATTTGACGGAAACTTCATCCTTCTTTACTTACCAATCCTTTAATTACGAAAATTTTCAGTTAACATTTATATTGGGACGTAATAAATTAAAGATAATTTTAATGCTTTCAACGAACATTTATTGTAAAATAAAATATGTATTCTTATTCGATAGGTACATCAATACAGAATGTCCACAAGTATTACTAATTTACGTTTGTTATAGTTAACATACATCAGGTAGAAGACAATTACGCACCTGTAAAACACTTTAGATGATTACGAGACGCCATTTGTGTATACATATGCATTTATACATGCAGGTATATATTTTTAAAATATACTGTATATATCCAGTGCCCCCTTGCGGAAAATAGTGTGATTAATATATTAGGTTGTGCGAAAAAAACTCGATACTTTTTTTTTCTTGCTCTCCGCTCAAAATATCGTAAAATATGTCTAAACAAATATCCTGTTAGAAGCGGAACTCATAATTTCAATTTTAAGAGGTCCATCATCGAATCTGAA